TCATGGGGAAAAAAAAAAAATCTAAAGTTCTACTTTAGGTTTCAGAGTTTCGTTTTAAACCCCTAGTTTAAAAAAAGCCAACCCAGTAACTCCAAGAATGGGTCTGTCTAGTTATGCTTCGCTTTAATATATTGCTCGGATTCACCTACATGCTTGTTCAAACTGGCATTTTAGAATATGGAGAATGAAAGATTGCTAAGCTGATGAATAGCTCACAGGGCAGCCGTATTTTCCATAATCATTCTAACTAGCTCTTTATATGCCATCCTTCATTGTAATATTTTGTTTATAGCTCTAGATAGATATCTATATCTATATCTAGAGAGAGAGAGAGATTAGTGATGTTTTGTTTCAATCATGGAAAATGATTACACACAGAATACCCCAGAATATCAGCGCGCCTTGTTGATTAGCAGGGAGAGAGAGAGATATCTATAGAGCCTTAGCTTTCTTGCAGACCAGCAGAGCTGGTTCTCTCTCTATATCTATCCACATATTAGTGGCGTTTCATTTCAATCACGGAAAAACGCGGTTTTTGGGTTACTTTTCTAAATCTGAAAATTGGAGATTTGGGTTTTTTTGCTTTTTTTTTTTTAATCAGAGAAAACCAGGATCCCCGCTAAATCAACAAGGCACACTAATATTCTGGGGTACTCTAGGTATTGGACCAATGTTCTTAGCATTCAACTAGATCAACACTGAAAAATAGTACGTGGCAACTCTTTGGAAGAGAGAGACCGCACAAAGCATTATGCACATCCACAGAGCCTGGAGGACACGGACCGTCAGAGCACGCAGGTGACAGTTACCTTGCGAAAGGGCGGCCGTGGTCCGCCACACCTGGAGGGGCGGTACTGTGGAACTGGCATGCAAACTGCTCTGTGCCTCCAGGCGTGGCAGAACCGGCTCTGCTGGTCTGGGAGAAAAGCAAGGCCAGAGAGTGCCCAGGTATGCAGATACCATAGCAGCCAAAAAAGCAAGCTGCAACCCTATTCTAATGAAATGGCTGGGAGCAGCAGCCGCTCAGAGGCTACAGGAGTCCTTTACACCTCCCAGCAGGACACGCGGCTTTCTTAGCAGCTGTTCCACTGGAGGCAAGAGGCTAGGGCAGCCATAGATCACGTCCAGGACAAAGGAAGATCCAAGGTCCAGAGCAGTCCCTGCAGTGCCAGCCTGCACCCACCCCACTCCCAGCACTACAGCTCCTCTGGCAGATGGCAGACAGGCCAGAGCTGAGCAAAGAGCACCCTTTCCTTCAGCAAACAGGGGAGAGGCTGTGGGGGATCTTGTGCTGCTCCTGTCTATGCAGAAGCTGAAATCTCCCACTTTAATGCAAACCCTGTCCGTCCAGCACCTGCCTGAGAACATAAGGGTGCCCAGCTTCTGCTGCTATAGATAAAATGCACAAGAGTTTAAATACTGAACAAAGCGTGATCCATACGTGGCTATGGAGATGCAATATTCATCTAGATTTTAATATGCTTTGCTGGTCATAATGCCTACTGTGCAAAGTAGCTCTTCGACAGACATGCTTTCTATTAATGTTTATATACATACAAAGCTGATGTTTTTATAGCCATGAGACCATAGGCATAAGACCCAAGACAAAACCCCCACATAAACACCAGAACCAGATTCGATTGGCTTCACTCCCAGGAGAAGTCCCAGAAGAGTCTTAAAAGAAGCAGGATCAGGTCTTAAATGATTAAACACATGAAAAATTACACTGGAGATGACAGCAACAAAATTTTTTTTTTGGCAACCCCTCCCCACCATCCAAAGTGCAACAAGCCTTGTAGCACAGTGCTTACATCCAGTGTAACTTCTAGGTATCCACGTTGTAGCCGTATTGGTCCAGAGGAAAAAGCAATCAGGACTCGTAGTAGAGATGATATCTTTTGTTAGACCAACAAGATTTTTGCAAAAATAATTCTTTAATTGCAAGCTTTTGGGCACAAACACCTTTCATCAGGCATAAGAGTGTAAAACTTCTCCTCAGCAGAACTTTTACACTCATTTCCCCAATGCCTGGCAAAAATTTTGTTAGTCTAATAAAAGATCTCTCTACTTTGAGTCCTGAGTACATCTTCTTCTAAGCACACAGCAATCAAAATAGAAAGCTGTATGAAAGAAATAGCACTGTGCTACATTCAATGGCTTTATCAACAACAACAACAAAAAAATCAATTCTTCGATACACTGAAGCAAGGCTGCCATAAATCCACCACCATTGGTGGCCAGCCATCAGAAGGATTCCCCAGGCCTAGTACAAGAAGTGTTATTGTGGCCTCTATACCAATCACTCCTTCTTGCCACCATAGGCAAGGACCTGGGGAAAAAAAGTGGCCAGACAGCACCATTCCCAGCAGTTAAATAACATATTCCTCAGACACTTTAGGATTGAAAAAGGCATATTGCACTGTCAGACTAGAAGTCTACAATTACACCAGATAGTATGATCCAATATTGCTGTCTGTCACCATTAAGTAAGAAGAATTCAGGCCTGGGCAACTTTTAGCTGTACCTACTTTTGTCCTCTTCCCCATCACTCAGGCCTAAGCTACACCCGAGCCCATCTCCATCTTGATTCTTATCTGCAAATTACATTGTAAAGCAATACAGTCAATATTTTTTCTTTATCTACATTCACAATTTGTTTTCATTATTCCCAAACACGGTGCTATAATATGACACTAAAAAAGCATCAGTTCTTCCTTCTGTCTTTCTATTTGGGTTCATCTCATCTTTGGTAGATTTATGAATTCAATTTCTCTTTTATAGAAGTTATCGCTTTTAACAACTAGAAGAGGAAAATGCTACATTATTTTTATTGCTGTTAGATGCCCAAAGACATCTTGCTATATGCTGTCATTTACATTTCACATTAAAATGGGAAATATATTGGAAATGAGCAAAGATTTGTTTTAATTTGACCCATCTGTTAAACAAACAACCCCCCCAAAAAAACAAAACAAAACAGAGCTGCTAAATCAGTCTGTTTAAATTCAGCGATTTGTAAACAATTTGTATGTTCATTTCTTCGGGGTTAAAACTACCCTACAGCAAAATTCTTACGAAACCCACAAATTAAATTGCATTGTATTATTCGCATGGACACAGGCCATGATTTCTTCCTCTTCAGTTTATTCATTTATTTCCTAACCCAAGTTAATTAGTAAGACTCATATTAAGAGCCATTTGAAGTACATTATAGAAATTATTTCAGGGAAGTCACGAAAATGCCTAATGGCTCCAGGAAGCTGAGGGTTCACAGAAGCCGTCAGTTATCAGTGGTAAATTCCCATAAGATAAAGGGTGCGCCAAGTGCTTTAATTTAGCTTTTGAACACCCTTGCCTGTGAACAGCCTCATCCTGACCTACTTCAACTTAGACCTGCACTAAGTAGGAAGCATAATTAAAGGGAAGAAGAAAAGCCAGAGTAATTTAGCTTCAATAACGTGGCTGTATTTGGGTCTTTACCTGGAGTCAAACATGGTTTGAGACGGCATGCGAGGGGGAAAGCTATCTACAGGTACCGGAAAGACCCTTGCACACTGAAGTATGGAAGAGCCAGGCCTTTTAACTGCCTTGCTCTCATAACCAGCTCACATTAGTCATCAGCACCTTCCACCCCAGAAGTTAGTTTCAGTTCCTTGGAGCAGCCTCTAGAATCGTTTAAAATCACTTTCATTCCAGAGGACCCCAAACTCACCTGCGTTAAGACAACGCTGGAGGAAGGAGAGGATTTTTTGAGCAGCACGTGTTAGACACAAGGAGCAATGTTGCAGAACAAGGAGAGTGGCTTGAAGCCTCCTATCTCGCATGCTAAGTCTACAAAGAACCCGGAGGGCGTGTGTTGTCCCACTTTGTCCCAGACCTTTAACCTGACCACAGCGATGCTGTTGCAGGAGCAAGTTAAGCCTCTGCACGTCCCATAGATTTCATCTCAGGATATACAAGGACCCAAGCAGACATGAGTTGCCTTTCACCAATGCTAGTGATCCTAGCTCTCCCCCTCCCCAGCCTTCCCCTCCAACCCTATTCCAAATCAGCAAACTTCTGGAAGGGCCTTCATGAACCACAGAAGACAAGAAGGGTATGCCTAGCTAGGAAAGTGCAGGCCAGCATTAATCCATGCAAGAATTATTTAAATTAAAGGCCTGCTTGTGTTGTATCAGTTCCCTCTCCAGGGTTTCAAAGTGAGCTTCAGAAAGCTGCACAAAACCCCAGCTCTTCTGTGCATTTCACACATTCAACGGTTCTATTATTATTATTTTTTTTGGCGGCTTGTATTGTATTAAGCAATCCAGCAAAACAAGAAATTGCTGTAATTCAACCAGGACATGATTAAGAGTACCTCCAAGAGCCTCAACAAGATGCAGAGGCAACATGGATCACAGACTGAAAAGATTCTGAGTTGGCGAAATGACAACTTGATTAGTTTTGGTCTGACAAATGTGGCGAGACAGATAATAATCAAACATAATTTCAAGGTTATGGGCCTTCAAAGGAGACCAAAAGAAAAAAAAAAAATATCAAGGAGGGCAATAGCAATCTGAGAGACCAATCCCACCCTCCCAGCAGTTCTGCTAACACTCAGATGCAGGACAGGAGCAGTTGACAAAAGCTGCACAGCATACTAGCCTTGCTAGGTGCAGTTCTGAACTACAGCAACGTGCATCCACCTGGAACACAGATTTAGATCACACCGGTCATTTTGCCTGCATCCCAGATCAGCTACAGATACTAAGCAATTCTAGAGGGAACAAAATCCACCAGAAACAAATTGTAACCATGTTTCCTCATCATATAAATTAGCCAAAGCTCCATGTTAGCACACTTAGATTTTTTTTTTCCAGACTCAACCTAGCTCCACGCAACCCCTTGGGCAGCCCAGACAGACACGAGAGGCCTCTACCGCACCGATGCTCCTCTGTGCCCCATGGTCTTACTGCTACTGCCGTTTCTTCCCATCCCCGAAACATAAAATGCGTCCTTACCTAGGAAGAGGATGATCTGTCTCCTGGAATTCTTGCTCTCGGCACTCTCGTTTGTCCTTAGGTGCTGGTTTTGAAGCCCCGATCCTCCTCTTACTTCAATGGTGCCCTGCTTCCGTATCATCAGGGCTTTCATCATGCTGCGGCACATGAAAGCCACAGATGCCAGCACCAAAACATACACAATGAAGGCGCTGAAGATGCTGGACTGAAAGACAGTCCACTTGGAAGAAAGGTTGGTGCATATGGTCATATTACTCCTCCACTCGGGCATGTGGTGCCTGCCAGTCGGCTGGGTGCAGGCAGTCACTCCTTGGTGGCCCTGGATAATTTCCAAGGGGTATTCTGTGCCCATGGCAAAAAGCAGAGGCAGGGCCACCAAGATGGAGGTAACCCAGACAAAGGTGATGAGCAGCTTCACCTTGCGGGGCCTGGAGCCAGCTTTGAACTTGAAGGGGTGGCAGATGGCAGTGTACCTCTCAAAGCTGAGAGTGGCCACGTGCAGCACAGTGGCATAGCTGCAGGCCTCAAAAAGAAAGCAGTACAGCTTGCAGGCCATGTCGCCATTTGGGGTGGAGAAGGGGCTCCAGATGGTGCTGTAAAACTCCACGGGCATTCCCAGCAGGATGACCAGGAGGTCCGAGCAGGCCAGGCTCACCATGTGGTCCGTCACTTCCTTCTGCAGGTAGCCTTTCTGCTGCAGGATCCTGGTGGTTTTGATGGTGATGCTGTTCCCCATGATTCCCGCCACAAAGATGACGACATAGATGACGGCCAGCACGATCTTAATCCACAGAGCCACCTCAAACTCTTGCACGTGGCTGTGATCGATCACATGAGAACAGTCTGACTGGCCACTCTGCCCAGCCATGAGCAATCCCCTCCAAGAAAAGAGCAAGAAACTCCTATTTCCTTGAAGCAGCAGCAGCAAACGGCTCTTCCCCAACCCCTCCTTCTTCCCCTACACCAGCCAGTGCACTCAGGCTGCAGTGGTTACAAGCCACACCTGA